TCTGATGGTATCAAATGTTAATGAGAACGTGAGAAAGGTGCTTTTTATAATACCGGTAGGAGTTTAAATTCATATAATTATATAGCAAGAAATCTGAGTATTTAGTACAGGTGAATATGTGCATACCCTAGGATGCAGCAAATTTTCAGCTATGTACAATAACCCTATAAAAGGATATTCATTACAGCATTGTTTTTAATAGCTAAAAACTGGAAAACAGCCCTAACTTTTCAAAAAATGTGATAGAGACATATATGAGTACAATAGAACACTATACAACTGTTAAAAAATTAATTAGTGCTAAAGGAATTTCTACCATAACATTAGATGTGCATTCCCAACATCAGACATTCTGGAAACAAAGACACACACACACACACAAACACACACACACACTCTACCACTGATTATGTGAAAACTTCTAAATCAAACACTAAAAACACTAGTGATTATGTTAAAAGTAGGGTTTGGGGCAGACCACTCTAAACCTATGCAACTTTGGAACCTGAGCATTAAAAATGAAAATAAATAAACAATAATTGTAACCTCGGAACACTGACATAATTTAAGACTATCCAAGCAATCATGATGATGGATTCCTCAGGAGCTATTAAAAATGCTTAAAAATAATAAAGTGGAAATGTTGGCTTGTGGATGCTGAAACAGTGCAGACAGAAGTAGAGGAGGTGTGCACCAAAAGTTAAGAGCCCTACAATGCTAAGACTGTGTAACTTTGAGGAAAATTCCCAGGTACAGATGACCGCTTAAAAAGAAAAGTTTTCTTTAAGAGCCAAAAGAACTCCTGTCTATGCAAGCAGACAAGCTGAGAGCTTTTCCCTTTCTTGCTGAAATTATAACTCTACACTCTTTATCAGTTTCCCTTACCTAGAAAATAAACTAACACAGCTTTCCCATTGATCTGACATCATTCCTATACTTACCAATCACTTATGAGCTAACTAGTGTTATAAAACATGTTGTAGCAGAAGTGACTATATTATGTATCCACACTGAAATATCATGTTAATTATAAAAGTAACATAATAATGTAAATGACTAAATCACACGAAATATTATTTGTTTGTGCACAGGTAAATATGTATAAAACTATAAGAGAAGGGGCCCGCCAAGTGGCACGTTGTTTAAGAGTTGGCTTGGGACACCAGCTCTGAGCAGCAGGACCCCGGTTCGGATCTCACATGGGCCAGTGACTCTGTGCCCTCTACAGCTAAGATGGTGAACAACAGCTCGACCTGGAGCTGGGCTGCCGTGAGTCGTCAGCGACGGCATAGACTGCAGTGAAGCTGCAGCAGGCTGCCATAAGCAACCGTGAGTGGCTGGCAGCCATAGTGAGCGGCTGGCAGCCATCATGAGCTGCCAAGAGCCGCCGTGAGCAGCCATTCAGTGGCCAGTGGCCGATCTGCCTCACCTGGGAAGAGCGCAATGATAATACCAACATGGGCCAGTGAAGCAGCGTCCTCGACAACTAGACTGAAGAACAAAAGGACAGCAACTTGTCTGTTCCCCTTCCCTGATTCCCCAATGCTGTTCACCTCCCCCAATTCCCCAATAAAAAATGTTTAAAAAGAAAAACTGTATTAGAAGAACACATACAACTTCAGAATCCAGATTGCTGGAGGAGAGGGAAATAAAGGGGTAACAAAGAAATCAATTTCATCTGCAACGTACTCTTTATTATAAAGTGACACTGAAGCAAAAATAACAAAAACAATGATATCCTGTATATTAAGTTCATATATCTATAGTCCTTGTAAAATGTCTTTTAAATCATGTAACAATGAACTAACATTTGAAAGGGAAAGTGATATGGACAAGTCTATCACAAAACAAATATACAGTGTCTATAAAGTTTTTCCTAACAGGCTGCAAAAATGTTTTGACCTTTCTATCCACCTTCCAGCCCAATTTGAATATCACTGCTCTTCAGTATAGGTATCTGAAACAATAAGGACTTTTTTTTATAGGAATCCTTGTTCTACCACTCATTCCAGTCTCACATTTACAAAGAAACAAATGTACCTTAATGTCCCAATAAAAGGCTTATTTTCAACAGGACAGGGAATTATGAATGGCAACTTTCCCTTGAATCTTCAAATACACATCTGAAGTGTGAAAGCCAACTATTATTATTAACTAAACTACTGACTTTATACTAATATCCTTTTTCTTTTCCAGAATCGAATCCATGATACCACAATGCATTTGGTCCTCATGGCTCCTTAGTCTCTTCTAGTCAACATCTGTTTCTTAGTCTTTGCTAGTGTTTGATGACCTTGAAATTTGTGAAGAGCACTGGTCAGGTACTTTGTAGGATGTTCCTCAATTTAGGTTTGTCTGATCTTTTTTCTCCAGCTTAAACTGCAATTATAGGTTTTAGGGAAGAATAAATAGCACAGAGGTGAAGGGGATACACGTCATCAACATAATTTATAACTGATGCTGTCAGCCTTTATCATTTGGTTACGGTAGGATTTGCCAGCTTTCTCCATCATGAAGTTACTATTTTTTTATTCCATCTATTCTTTAGTCCAGGTTGAAGGGGGTCAGTGGGTGGAAAGCAGTACCTACAAATTTTTGGAATAATTCTGTAAAATTTATCCCTTCTCCCCCATTTATTTATTTACTCAACCATTTATTTATATTAACATCAATTCATGTATATTTATGTTCTGCTTTGGTAATAATCAAATACTAGGCTATTTTGTTGTTCAAATTGTTCCAGCTCTGAACACTGGAAGCTCTTTCAGGTTGGCTTTTATGTTGCTTTGACATGGGCCCATCACTTTGGTTTTTTTGAGCATTTCCTTACGTTCTGGCACTACTAGATGCTCTAGGGTCATCCTATATTTTACCTGCCCCAGCCCTACAATCAGTCATTTCTCCAAGAAGTCCTGCTTCCTTTTATTGGAGAATGATATTTAGAAACCAAGATCTGGGCACTGGGTGTCTTCTGGCATGTCAATGGTTCTAGGCCCTCTCAGCAGAAAGCGCTGAGAAATACATGTATGTACAAACCCAAGTATAAACACACACATGTAAATTATTCTGTAAGTATCTATATATATTTTAAACTAAACACGAGTTCATACTGATGTTTCCAACTCTAATCCAGTACCCTGGTTAATTGTTAACCCCAGATTGAACTTCCCTCTAATACCTAGCATACTCAAACTGAATCCTCTATTACCAGGCAATTCATTAAACTCAAGTTCCAGTATTAGTTGTACTGAAACATGAAAGTAAAATATATTTCAAAATGGAGTCCCATGATAGGTCCTACCTCCACTACTGGAACTATACACCAGCACACAATTAGAACTATATAAAAACTTTGCAACTTTTTAACTTTTTTTTTAACCAGTGTTCTATTATTTCAATATAACACAGCTGACCCTTAAACAACATGCATTTGAACTAGGAAGGTCCATTTACATTTTTTTCAATAAATATTGTAAATTTATTGTCTTATGATTTTCATAACATTTTTTCTCTAGCTTACTCTGTTCTAAGAATATAGTATATAGTACATTAACATACAAAATATGTTTTAATCGGCTATGTTATCAGTAAGGCTTCTAGTCAACAGCAGACTATTAGTAGTTACGTTTTTGGGAAATCAAGTTATACTAAAATTTCAACTGCTGGGGGGGGGAGGGGGCAGGAGTCAAAGTCTCTAATCCCCGTGTTGTTTAATGGTCAACTGTATTTTCTCTGAAGAACAACTTTCCATTAAAAAAGAGAAAGATGAGAAGCCAGTGTCATGGCTTACTATATATACACCATCAATATAACATTCTAAATTGAAGAAAATAGAGAAATGATGTGACTTGCCCTAAATCACACTGCCAGCAAAGGGCAAAGCTAGAACTTAACGATTTAAATCCAGTTATTCTATTCCAATTTCCATAGTATCTGCATTACACTCCCTTTTAGGTTATAAAGAAGTCAATTTATAAAACAAAAAATGAAAACAAAAGTAACCTTCCCCCATAAATTCAACTGCCTACTACAACTTCCTCAGTTGTTTCAAGAAATAAAATGGAGTTAGGTAAAGTATAGCTAATTTACCTTCTCTAAAATCAATTAAAAGAACAAAGTATGTGTTCATACTTAGAGGTAAAACCACAACTAAAAGAAACACAAATTTATTCAGGGAACAAATATTTACTAAATAACCACATTGTGTGGGCATTCTCACAACAACTGTGCAATCTGAATAAACAAATGAGACACACTCTAACCTTCCCAGAAGAACTCAGCATCTAATGAGGGATATGGTTGGGTGTAAGAAAACTAATATAGAAAACAAGACAATTATAAGTAAAGTATAAATATAGATATTCTGTACTTTGTTTTCCCTTCTCTAAACTATTACGAACTTTATCAGTGTACAACAGACTTAAAAATCTTGATTGTTTTCTGACAGAAGTGACAAGAATATTTACTAAAAAAGGAAAGTTTGGCAGTAGTTGAAAAGTAACTGTTTCTTTGATAGACTAACTGCTGCAATGCTAACGTGAGGAGATACAATAAGACTTGAGGAAAGAGGCAGCAATCCTTGGTTTCAGTTCAGACTTATGTCTGCTTACCTAGAAAACATTGAGTAAACCCTTTAACCTTAGTCTATATGTCACCATAATTGAAATAAGCTATCATCTGCTCTACTTACTTCACAAGACTTTTGTAGGCTCAAATGAGAATGTACACAGCAAAACTCTATAAATTACTATTTAATGAGATACGTAAACAGGTAGATACATACATATACACAAACACACACAGAGTGTTATTACCCACCAGGACACCAAGCAACAATGATATCCATTACAGGGGTACTTGGACCTCTAGTTTTTAAAATTCTGCAGAATAAAAATTTATCTAAAACATTTTAGCTTTAAATACACACACACACACATTTCTTAATGCTAGAGATTAAATCTTTTGAAGCAACAGCTAGAAATTTAACTAAGAATACTTACCTTAACAAAATTATCAGGAAACATTCCTCTTCTCCCATTTAATTCTCCTTCTAGCCATCCTTCCTCCTGTAGTTTTTTCACATTCTTGATGATTTCCCCAACTCGAATAGTTAACTCATCATCGTGTACAGCATCATAGTCATACTCCACAATATAGTCAACTACAAAAAGAAAAAAAACCTGAATGTCCAGAACTTAATTCCTGAAATACTATTAACCGTATTGCTAAATTTAAAACTAAGGAACCTGTTTAGCAACAATAATATAAAGATTTCATTAAGGCTTACCTCAATGATTTTAAATATTTGGCTATATCAGCAAATTTCTTGATTGCCTTACTATATAAAAGCACAGTACCAGTTTTAAGTAGAAGCCCAATAATGTATAATTCATGTCATCAGTTGTTCTTATAGTAAGATGTATACCCTTTGTTACAAACTCTAAATTAATCCCCATGATTCCCCTCCCCCCATCTCTTGATATTCACGTCCTTATGTAATTCCCTCTCTTTGATTGTGGATATGACCTACAACTGACTTCTAACCAAGAGAACATGACAAACATAATGGATTCTATGTGACAACATAAGATTGTAATTGTCCATCTTGCTAGGAAACTCATTTTGCTGGCTTTGAAGACGCTGCTGTTTATGTTGTGAGCTGGCCTATAAAGAGGGCCACATGCAAGCAACTAAGGGAGGTCTAGAGCTGACAGCAAGCCAAACGCTGAGGCCCACAGTCCAAGAGCCCACAGGGAACAGAATGATGCTGACAACCATGTGAGCTTGGAAGCACATCCTCCCCTAGTTGAAAACCCAGCCCTGGTCAACACTGATTGCAGCCTTGCAGGGGACTCACTTAGCCAGACCTAGACTGACTACTGAATCACAAAATCAGTGAGATAAAAAGTGCATATTGTTTTAAACTGCTAAGTTTGTGGCAATATTATAACAGAACAATAGAAAGTGAATACACCGTGGGCCGGCCAAATGGCGCGTTGACTAATATTTGGCTTGGGACAACAGCTCTGAGCAGCAGGGCCCCGGTTTGGATTCCACATGAGGGCCAGTGACGCTGTGCCCTCTACAGCTAAAATGGTGAACAACAGCTCGGCCTGGAGCTGGGCTGCCATGAGTCGCCAGCGACGACGTAGGCTGGAGTGGAGCTGCAGTGGAGTGGAGCTGCAGTGGGCTCCCGTAGATACCGTTAGCGGCTGGCAGCCAGCATGAGCTGCCAACAGCCGCCGTGAGCGGCCATCCAGTAACCAGCGACCGATCTGCATCACTCGGGAAGAGCACAATGATAATACCAACATGAGGCGGTGAAGCGATGTCCTCCGCAACTAGACTGAAGAACAAAAGGACAGCAACTTGTCTGTTTCCCTTCCCCAATGCTGTTCCCCTCCCCCAATTCACCAATAAAATCTTAAAAAAAAAAAAAGTGAATACACCCTAAAGTGAAGGTTAATAAGGATCTATTTCACTTCCTTTAAGTGTAGGATTTTACATTTCAGGATATGATATATGCATGCCATTAATATTTTATAGGGCTCAATAAAAAAACAGCAGTAACAGATTTCTTCTTCAGATGGCAGACTAGCCATACCTCCATTCACCTTTCCTTCTCCTACAAAAATAAGAAAAAAGAACACACACACACACACACACACACACACACACACACACACACACACACACAAAACAATAGTTGGGGAAACTAGTATAGCTACTATGGATGAGCACTCATTTCTTAGAGAAATTACTACTTATTTCCAGAATGTACAGGTCTCCAGAGCCATGGGCAGCTCCACACCTGCTAAATCTATTATAAAATAAAACTCTTAAGTCCTACCCACATAAACAGTTCCTAATCAGCTTATTTATTATTTATTGATAAATATGAACAGACAATAGTTAATCATCAAAGACCATGATAAACTGAAAAATTACTCCTGGGTGAAACATACATCCACCTCCACTCACTCCCCAACCTTCCAGAACAATTTAGTCCTAAAGCTATTAGGTATGGGGGGGGGGGGGTGTTAAAGGCAGAGGGAGGAGCCTGGTGTGAGAAGCCAGGGCCAAGAAAAGTAAAGGTATCCAAAGCTGGGGGTGGGAGTGAGGCTATCAGGGCCACAGGAAGGTAAGGAGGGCATTCGCTTCCCTAGTGCAGTACATCAGAACATTTAAGGCAAGGTGAGGGGGACATTAATACAGAGGCGATCTGACATGGTATGTCAGAGCCCAAGCACAGCAGAGAGGGCATCCAAGCTGAGGGGTAGCTTGGTGGGAAATATCAAAGGCCGAATGGTATTGGGAAGATAGGGGCAGATTTCCATGCAGTTGTGTGGGAGGGTGAAGGCAACCCGGAATGGGGACTCACAGCCCAAGCAGTAGAAGAGGTGTCCGTGCAAGGGTGGGGAATGACAGCAGAGAGAGAAGATTGGCTACATGCTGGGGGATTGATCAAATAAGTAAATATATTAAGGATAATGGAAGCCAAGTTTCTCTATGTCAGAGACAAGGGTTATAAATAAAAAGGGGGAAAAGCTAAGTTCAATCCTGTAATAATAAATGAGAATGAGAAGCACCATCATGAACTTACATTTTCAATACACACACACACACACACACACACACACACACACACACACACACACACTCCCCCTAAGCTCTGTCCACTGAGAGGGCCTGAAACCAGCCCAATGGCAATGAGCAAAACTAATGAGTCTTACAAATACCACTTTCTACTAAAGGAACAACCAAGAATCCTTGGGAAGACAGGCAATTCCAGGGCTAAGGCAGGAAAAGTACAAGATAAGCCTGGAATGTAGTATTGTGCCAGAAAGCAAGGAAGTTCTCAAAAAAAGATGATGTGATGCCAAAGGACACAAAGAAGTGATTATCAAAAAGGCTCCTCTTGGGTCGGCCAAGAGGCGCGTTGGTTAACAGCTGGCTTAGGACACCAGCTCTGAGCAGCAGGGCCCTGGTTCGGATCCCACATGAGGGCCAATGACGCTGTGCCCTCTACAGCTAAGATGGTGAACAACAGCTCGACCTGGAGCTGGGCTGCCATGAGTCCCAGGCGACGGCGTAGGTAGCAGCCCCTGCTGCAGTGGACTGCCGTGAGCCACCATGAGCAACCGTCCAATGGCAAGCAACCCATCTGCCTCAGCCGGGAAGAGCGCAATGATCACAATACTAACATGGGCAGTGAAACAACATCCTCCACAGTTAGACTGAAGATCAAAAGGACAGCAATTTGTCTGTTCCCCTTCCCCGATTCCCCAACTCTGTTCACCTCCCCCAATTCCCCCAATAAAATCTTAAAAAAAAAAACAACTCATCTTGCAAAACTGAAATACAGCTGAATATTGTACATAGTGAGAATGCAAACTTGAAAAAGAACCACACAGGTGTTAGAGGATACCTGTACAATAGAAGTACAGTGGAGGTGAATACCTGTTAGAGAATTCTCTAACTGAGAAAGACAATAACCAAAATTAGGAACTCAATGGATGAGTTTTAAAGTATATTGGTTACAAACGCAGAAAACTAGCTAAAAGAAAAACAGGTAAACAAAAACTAACCAAAGTGAAGTGCAGAGAGATAAAAATATGGAAAATATAACAGAGATGTAAGAGACATAGAAGATATAGTAATACAGTCTCACATGTTTATTGGAATCCCAGAAAAAGAACATAAAAAGTAAATATCTGAAAAGTTAATAGCTATGAATTCACCAAACTGATAAAAGACATCAATCCATGGAGTCACGAAGTCTAAGTAATTCCAAACAGCACAAAAAGAAATTGCAAACTCAAAATAGTAAAAAAAAAAAAAAAAAAAAAAAAAAAAAAAAAAAAATTTTTTTACAAGAAGGCAAATAAAAAAAAGACAGGTTACAGAACAAGCAACACTTATCTGGCCAGCTGACTTCTCAACAGCAACAATGGGAGCCTGAATGCACCCATTAGTCTCTTCAATGTGCAGAAAGAAATTAACTGCAAATCATACACTGTCAGAGAAAGTACCCTTAAAAACAAGAGAGTGAGCTGCCATGAACGGCCATCCAATGGCCGGCAACCAATCAGCCTCACCCGGGAAGAGCGCAATGATCACAATACCAACATGGGCCAGTGAAGCAACGTCCTCCACAACTAGACTGAAGAACAAAAGTACAGCAACTTGTCTGTTCCCCTTCCCCGATTCTGCAACGCTGTTCCCTCCCCCCCAGTTCCCCAATAAAATCTTAAAAAAAAAAAAGAAAAAATAATTAACAATTCTGAGAAGCAGAAACTGAGAGAAATTAAAAGGAACTCTAAAGGATGATCTCTGAGCAAAGGAAAGGAAAAAGATCCAATGTGAAAAGTGTCAGAGGTGGGGAAAGGAACAAAAAAAAGCAAAAGTAGTGGTAAGTAGACAGATATACAAACACTGAGTAAAATAATAACAAAAATTAATTCAAAATGGATTAAGGCTTGAATGTAAAACCTGAAACCATAAAACACTAGAAGAAAACATAGGCAGTAAGCTACTTGAGATCAGTCTTGGCAGATATTTTGAATTTGACATCAAAAACAAAGCAACAAAAGCAAAACAACAACAAATGGGACTACATCACACTAAAAAGCTTCACAGCAAAGGAAACCATCGACAAAACGAAAAGGCAACCTACCAAATGGGAGGAAATATTTGCAATTCATATATATGATAAGAGGTAATATCCAAAATATATAAAGAACTCAACACAATAGAAAAAAAAAATCCAATTTAAAAAATGGGCAGAGGTCCTGAACTGACATTTTCCCAAAGACATACAGATGGCAAATAGATACATGGAAAGGTACTCAACATGATTAATCAACAGGAAAATTCAAATCAACAGGAAAACACAATGACATATTACCTCACATCTGTTTAGAACTATTATTAAAAAGACAAGCAATAACAAATGTTGACAAGGATGCGGAGACAAGGGAACCCTTGTTACTGCTGGTGGTAATGTGAATTGGTACAGCTACTATGGAAGACAGTACAGAGGTTCCTCAAAAACTTAAAAGTAGAACTACCATATGATCGAACAATTCCACTTCTATTTATCCAAAGAAAACAAAAACACTAACTTGAAAAGATAAATGCACGCCCATGTTCAATGCAGCA